ACATGCATTGCATTTATTCAATATATTCAAAATGAATTTTTCTTTGTGATTTCAATGTAACACCTAAGAATACTCCAGCATGCATTGCTTTTATTCAGTATATTCAAAATCTATATTTCTTATTGATTTCAATGCATCACGTTCCTGTTGCCTTAGTATTGGCTGAATTTTGCAACATCAATAAAAGCTGTCTCAGTGATGTTGCTTGTTGTCAGTCAATCAATAGCAAGTCTAACAACGCCACTGTTGACCAGGAGATCTGAATCCCTCTGGGAGCTTCTGACAAGATATTGCTTGTCTTGCAAGTTGAAGGCTGAATCCATCACAACCTCTGCTCTGTACAAGTCATACATGCTCTCCATCTTCTAGTAGACTTTATACTCAGAAATGGTACTATAATGCCAAGATCCAGGACAGTTGAATGTGCAAGCTCTAATTTTGTCATCAGGGGTAAAGACAAAGATGCTATTGATGTCCACATCACATGTCTATCTACTATTATAGTATATATTTTGTACTGCCCAGTTTGAGGAGGTCTGCAATCCAATCTTCAGGCCATCTGCAGTGCCATAGTAGACCCTTTGCTACCAAAGGAGTGGGTAATTTTCACTGATAGCTGCAATATAAGCATCAGTATCCCCTCTTTGCCAGGAGCCCTGAGTCTGGCATCTGGATGGTCTTGCAAGACAAAGAGGAGAACATACTCAGAGAAATTGATCAATTTGTACATTACTATTGAAGTGAGTTGAAAAGCCATGGTGGACAGTCCTCCTCTTGCTACTGATCCACAAGTCCTGAACCTGTGCAGCACTATTCCAAGACAACACAAGGTCATTGGCTCCCTATGTTTTTCCTTTGGCATTCCATTCCTGTAGAAAGTTCTTCTTGTTTGTAGTACTTTGCACCAGTACTTCTACTAGTAGTACTAGGAGGTAGTAGTAGTAGGAATGGTACTAGTAGTACTACTAGTAATTTTGTTGTTGATTTTCAAAATGTAGTAGTAAAGTAGTACAATATGATTCCTTTTGCTGCTGAACAAAATAACATATTCAAATTCCTCATTTAAAACTGGTATAGACAGAGCTTTCAAAAATAATTATTGTATAGGCTTGGCCAGCAGATGTACAATAATATCTTACATTTTGGGCCATCTTTTTCCTGTGTAAAATATGTTAAGTGGGCCGACTGACATAATGAAATCTTGTCAAAACACCCCATTTTTTCTATGGAATTTTTGTTATGATGTCTGTTGGAGTGCTGGAAATACATTCTCGATGAACATATTTACCTAAAATAACATCCAATGCTGCACCAATACTGATGCTTCATGATGCTGATTGCAGGAAGGCAACTCGCTGTCAGTTGTTGGACACAGAGGAGTCCTCACAACCATGTGCTGAAGCTACCATAATTTCAGTGAAAGTGCTTCTCGTTCCGACAACCGACATCTTCTTGCCCCCCCTCCACCGGCACTAATCAGCCACACTATAAAG